TATTGGAATCAATATGTGAGTGACTTTTAAACAGCAACAATTGGTAAGGGAATAAACTGTATGGCTAAACAGGGATAATTGCTGAAAACAATGATTTAAGAGAAAATATTTAGTCTCTTAATATGGTACTGAGCATACAGCAAGTGAGGAAATTGCTGATTTAAGAAAACCTAGTAAAACTTAGAACAGTGAAAGTCTGTGACATTCTAGACATGACCCACTTCCTTTCTACCTCCTATAGCTCAGTATGATGGTAAATCCACTCCAGAAATGTGCAGGAAAATACACTGAGCTCCTTTCCCCCATCCCAGCTCAGAGAAGCAGCAAGTAGCTAGCATCTCTCATTCTTCCCATCATGAGTTGGAAGAGTGGAATTTCAGGAGAGGGAAGACGTAAGGTTATGCTTCTTCCTTCTACCGAGGCCTCCTCACTCATGGGACAGAAACTTTCTCATAGGAACAGCACAGTCTAAATATAGGACCCGGATCATCCTCATCCATAGGATGGATACACAACAGAAAAAAAAATCCAAGAAGTTCAAAAGCTACATTTTTGCCTTCCACACTGCAACAAAAGAACTGTTACTAAGAGAGAGCTGAACAACTGCTCCCTACTAAGCTCCAGAGCTAAGACATTTTTCCCAGTAGGATAAGGAAGTCATAAAATTCAAAGTTCTCAAGAAATTTACTTTATTTCAAACAAAATATGGGAAAGTTTGAGTCTGTGGACATTGATATACTAGAAACCAAAAAGAAGCCGGATAAATTCCTAAAAGATACAAGATGATAGGCCATAAAGTTTAACAAAGAGAATCAAAGGAAAAAAGAGTTAAGAAGGGCCTCCCCAGAGTCAGAGCAAATTTCAAACTCTGAACCCAAAAACCACCCTGTCAGAAATGCAAACTTACCTGGATCAGCCCCTGGGACAATTTATGGCACAGGCCATTATAACAGAATAATCAGCTGGCAATTAGTGGGCCTACCAGTTAGGTGCACTCAGAGGACAGTCAAAGAAAGACCTAGTATAGCTATTGTGACTTCAGGTGACTGGGTACATATTTAAACCTGCATTCACTGACATGCAACACTAGGACATACGCGGCTGGAGACAAGATAAAGACTTTAGCAAATAGTTCATCCAGGACAGTAAACAAGTTGACAAGAAAACTACAATAATAAGTTCCTCAGAGTGGGGTATGAGTATCCAGAATGAACAATAACTAAAATGTGGTGATGTTCACCTGCAATCCAAGCACTTTGTGAAGCTGATTCTGGATTGTAAGTTCAAGATCCAGATGGGCAACTTAATGATATCCTGTCTCAGAGTAATAATAACTATAACAATAATAGTGATAATGATAATAAATGGCTAGGTGCAGTGTGATGGCCTTGGTACCAAAAGAAGTCCAACTTTCAACAAAAAAATTGTACTTCATGCAATAAAATACAGCAAGAAAAGCAGATATTAAAACCTGCCTCTGAGAAGAACCAGATGTCACATTTTAGATTTAACTTTAAAGTAGACATTATAAATATATAAAGATCTAAAACAATGACTAAGAAATAAAGTATGATGACATTGTTTTTGCACAGAGATTATCAATAACATGAAAATTAGAAAAAAATCCAAATGAGGATTTTATGGATTAAAAGTATAATAACTAAAACTAGAGGAGGTCAACATTATAATTAAACTGTCAAGAGAAAGAATTAGTAAACTTGAAGATAAGTTAGCATAAATTATGCAATCCAAATAACAGAGACCAAAAGAAAAAAGAAGAAAAATGAAAATCCTTCAGAAAAATAAGGACACAACTAAGTGCACCAATATACATATAATGGACAATCTGAAGGACAAAAGAGATGCAAAGAATTATCAAGAATATTTGAAGAAATTGTGGCTGAAAACTTTCCAATTTAATGAAAATAAAATATTAATCTACATATTCATAAAGGTCAAGAAAAAACTAGCAAAATAAATGCAAAGAGATGTACAATAAACACATCAATGATATAACTGCTGGGAAAAAAAGAGAACATCTTTGATCAGCAGGAGAAAAGTGGCTTCTCAGATATAAGAGGACCTCATAAGATTAAAAGCTGACTTCTCATAAATAATTGAAGCCACAATTAAGTAGAAGTAGAGTGGTCTATTCAAAATACTAGAAGAGAAAAGGTCCACCAAGAATCCTATATTCAGCAACATTATTATTTTAAAATTAAAGTATCAAAAAGACATTCTCAGATAAATTAAAAGGATGAATTTGTTGCTATCAGATCATTTTGTAAGAACACTAAAGGAGGTGTTCATATAGAAGTCAAGTGACTATAAGTAGTAATAAAATTCAACACAGACAAAACAGAGAGCACTGAAAATGATAATTTTTTAATTATAGCAGGAAGTATAAATATTTCATCTCCCTTCTTTCAACTTTTTTTTAAAATGTGTCTGTTGTGTGTGTGTGTGTGTGTGTGTGTGTGTATCACTGAATTGTTGGAGAAAAGCATGTAGAAATGCAATGTGTTTAAACAATAACACAAAAAAGTATGTAGAAAGGCTGCTTCAGAGTAAGAACATGATACTAAATGTTAACTTGGATCTGAGAAACAAATGGAGAGGCAGAAAATGTAAGTAAGATGGTTTGAAGGGAAAGGAATTAATATGAGAAAAGGAAAAAATGGAAACAAAGTCTTTGTAAATAGGTAGGGATAGAGAGGGTGAAGGGAGGTCAGGGGAATGGGGAAAATATAAGAACCAAGATATATCATGTAAAGGTACAAATTCCCAATAATGAATGTCAACATATTGTATACCTAAACTGTAGTGATAAAATTAATGAATAAAAAATATATAACAAATGCTTTTTCCTTCAGCTTCTTTAAAAGTTAGAAATAACATTTACAATAGTGTTTTTTTTTACTTTGTAAATAAATAAATAAAATATGTGCTGTGGCCAGGGATTTAGCTTAGTGGTTCCACTGCCTGCCTCGCAAGCACAAGGTCCCAAGTTCAATCTCCTATACCCCCAATAAACAAACAAACAAACAAACGAATAAATAAATAAATAAAATGTGCTGTTGCAGTGACTCAAAAAGAAAGGGAAATAGAAATGAGATAACTGACATTGTGAAATGGGAAGAAAAGGTCTAAAGGTGTAGGGAAGGTGGGATGGGTAGGGGAAGGGTAATAAGGGAAAACAAAAAATGTGAGAAAATGAAAAGATGGAAACAAAGTGGTTATAAATGGCGAGGGGAGGAGGGGTGAAGGGAGGGCAGGGACAAGGGGAAAAAATGAGAACCAAGACCTGTCATGTAAAGGTACAAGATCCTAACAATGACTGTAACTGTACTGTATCCCTAAAATGTACCAATAAACTCAATAAAAGAAAAAAAATACTATTCAACAAAACATCTATTTAATGTAAAAATAGTATAAGTACTATGCTGAATGATGTCATGTAGGAATAGAAAATACTGATAAATGAGCAGGAATAAAAATATGAGACAAAAATCCAATGAAAAAGTAATAAATAAGCATAATAGAAAGCATGAATTCCTTTCGTGGGCTCATGGACACACTCAACACGACTGAAGAATGACTTAACAGACTTGAAAATTGGCCATCAGATACACACAATTCATTAGGTTCGCTACTATTAATTATTTGACAGAAGCATTTTTATTTCCACTAGAAATAGATAAAAATTCTTACAGTCCAACATTTTTGTCAACCCTTCCTACTCCAGAATTCCGAACAAGTGGATGTGATATAGGTGAAGGCTCAATAACTTGGGCAGGCGACTTAACAGCTCTGAGCTTCTACTTTTTCTTCTGTTAAATGATCCCTCCTTGGGCTAATGAATTAGAAAAATGGTATTCCTTCCCATTGGAACAGACTCTCCTGAACTGAAGTTGGGAACCAAGGCACTTTTCTCTAAGCATGAATCTCCCCACTGTTCAACTGATACAGTCTCACCACTGTCTAATGTTTGGCTCCCAGAGCATGGGCTGCCACTTTGTCTGAACTTTTATACAGTACAAATTACACAATTATACCTGACAACACAACAAACCTGAAGTATCCTATCAACTCACTGCTGGCCAGTTCAATTTCTTCCCCCACTTCAGGCTGTCAGGATCTACTGATTGTTATCATTAGATAAACTCCTTCCTTCACAATTCTTCCTCCAACATTATGCGAATTTCCACCAATTACATTTCAAGAAACCAGATCTCTGAATTGCTAGGGAGCTAGAAGTCAAAAGGGTAACTCCTTATTTTAAAAATTCTAACCCAGAGGAAGACTAATGAGATTGATGGATTTAACAAAAGGAACTTTCCCCCTTTTCCTAACCCTAAATATTTTTTTGTCTTTTAAATACTATTGAAACTTAAAAGGTGAAAATTATTCCAAACCCATTTCACCATTCTACAGTAGTTCTGTGGCAAATGTAAAAACCACTCCATTTGTTTTGCTGTAGCAATGGGGCCAGAACTATATGATCTACAATTAGGGAAAAAGAGAACCTCAGGATTCTTCCAATTCATATGTTGATTGTGTAAAGAAATCACACAAAAATTTAGGGAAAGAGAGCAGAGTTGATGAAGGACAAAAGTGAGCATCTCTACCTTTATATTCAGCTGACTCCCATCCCTTTTTCTCATGACCTCTCTCCATCAGGAAATCCATTTTAGCAGGTGGATTGCAGGTAACTGAGCTGATAATATTCAGTAAAAATGTGTTTCTTCTAACTCTGTCTACATGCCAAAAACATGCTACTGTGAGTTCAATAATAGAAGCAAAGCTAAATCTTTAAGATGCTAGAGGATAGAAAATGGAGTTGATTTTTGTGTTTCGTGTACTTTCAAAGCAAAACTTGGATTTGCACACACAATCTGATTTCTGTAACAATGACAAAAGATGGAAAGACTTGGTATTTTCTAAAGGTACTGAATAACTCATTATGGGGGACATGCCATCCAAAGTGACTTAAAGAAGAGCTAATTTTTGAGTAGTTGAGAGCAGTGCTTCACTCCATCATGGAGAGCTTCTTTGACTTTGTCATTCCTGAGAGTAAAGATGAAAGGATTCAGGAAAGGATTCACCGCAGAAATAAGCAGTGATGCTACCCTGTTGTACTCAGCTGCCTGTTTGCTTGCGTTTCACATAAAGAAACAAGCAGCTTCCATAGCCAACCACAACAAATGTAAAGAGAGAGGCACAGGTAGAGAAGGCTTTCCTCTGGCCAGACGCTGAGGGGATCTTGAGAATGGTAGGAAATGATGTAGGTATAGGAGACAATTGTAGGAATCAAAGAACCAATGATAATAAAAAGAGCCATTAAAAAAGAACAAACTCTGTGAAGAAAGTATCATCACAGGATAGTCTGAGTAATTGTCCTCGGTCACAGTAAAAGTGGTCTAACAGGTTTGATTTGCAGAAAGTAAACTGAAAGGTGGCATAGACAGGCCAGATCTCAGAAAGGAATCCAAATGCCCATAACATGATGACCACCCAAATGCACGTGTGGTTGTTTATAATGATGTTGTACCTCAAAGGGTTACACACAGCCACATAACGGTCCACAGCCATTGCTGCAAGCAGTGCAAACTCAGTGGTCCCCAGAGCAAGGTACAGGAAGAGGTGGGCAACACATCCATGCAGAGATATTGTTTGGATCCCTGGGAGCAGCAGACCCCAGAGCATCACTGGAGCAATTACAAATGTGCTTAGGGTCTCCAAGACAGAGAAGTGGCCAAGGAAGAAATACATGGGAGACTGAAGACGTTTATCAGCACAGATAATCATGATGATGACTGTGTTTCCAAGTAATGTCACTGAGTAAAAAACAAAGAATATAACAGAAAGAATGTAGTGCAGTTCTTGAGACCCAGGGAAGCCCAGAAGGCAGAATTCAGTGGCACTAGAGTCATTGTCCATCACCTAGTTCTTGCTTCAGCTTCTCATGAAACTTGGAGATCCAAAGGGAGTTAGCTTTATTATGTTCCCGCTCTCAAAACAGAAGGAAGAAAGGTTAGGATGAGGAACTATTTCCAACCTGGTTATCAGGTAGCATGACCTGTTTTGTGTGCTCTCCACATAGCCTACCAAAGTATTATCACTTTGATCAGTAACTAAGGCTTTCAGTTCATGTGGAACTAGCTCATTAGAATGGTGAAGACGCCTTGTTTTCTGCCAGGGTAAGGAAAATGTTCTTTAAAAAGCCACTGAATGTGACTTTTCTCGGGGGTAGAGGCTGAGACCTTCCATATAAGTCAGGTTTAAGGCTATGTCAATCAGGCCCTTCTGGTCCTTAGTTTGTTCTACTTCCTCCTAAATTAAATTAACGGAACACATAAAAGAATTCTAGTTCACAGGGTGCAACTTATACCCCCAAAGTTTAACATCATGGTAGTGCATAGACTCTCAGTAAGGAAGGCATCAGTAAAGAACCTGGGGTTCTAGGACCAGCACTCTTGCTGTTCCCAAATCTTAAAAACTCCATATTATGGAGCAGCAACATCTCCATAGGAGAACCCTGGGTCCTAGGATAATTTCCCAAAGCAGATCCTTCTTCTCACTCCAATTTCCCTTAAAAGTGCTGAGAGGAAAGAAAAAATGATAGCTGGAACAGTCAAGGATTGGAGCTGAGGCAGCAGCTGCTGGGTGCCTGCTCCCTCTTCTTACCTCACTGACTTCATTACTCACACATCTTCTCTCCAGAGGACTCTTCCCAGGCACCCTACCCAGAGCAGGAGAGTACACTCATTACTGGACTTCATTTCTCCCCATAGCACTTGTTATTACCTGAATGGTATATGACTAATCTTTGATTTTATTCCATTGTTCAATATTAAACAAATGTAGTCATGAACTAAACAAAAATCCTTGCACTGTGGAATTTATAACTAAGGCTAATAGACACACAAGAAAAGTAAATACAATACATAATACATGAGAATTATTTCATAGAAAATAAAGCAAGGAAGAGGGTTATGACATTTAATTATGTATCTATGCCATTTTATGTAAATTCTATAAAAGAAAGCACATCTTCTTCACACTTGTATTCTAAACAAGTGTGGCACTATATATATAATAGATTATATATATATATATATATATATATAATATATATACACACACACACATACACATATAACTGGGACTATATATATGACATATATATTATCATTATATTTTATTTAATTTTATAGTTTTCACACATATTCTAAGACTAAAACTACAATATATCATTATATTTTATTTAATTTTATATTTAAATATATATTTCTTTCTTGAACCAAGTCATGCGAAAAATTTTGGTAGATCATGAATGGATGTATGATACATGATTGAATGAGATGTGTCCCAGTCAGGTCCACCAAGGTTCAGACCTCTACTGTACTGTCTTTGACTTTTCCATGGATCTCAGATTGCCACTTTGTTTCTCCCATTCCCTTTCCAAGGCAATTCTTTCAATTTCTCTGTGGCTGTATTACTGGTAGACAACCAAGGCTCAAGGTTAGAATTCATGGGAGAGTTTGGTGTTCTGGCTTCCCACAAACTACAGGTAACTATCACTAGATGAAGAAAAATGAGAGAGGAGAATGTTCACTATTTGAGTCATTTGTAGGAAAATGGATGCACCTTGAGTCCATATAGTAAGTGAAATTAGACATAGCAGGTTAAATATGACGTGCTTTCTTTTACATGAGAAACCCAAAGTATACAGAATTTAAAATGCAAAATAAAACTTAGTAAAAGGGGAGAGAGACCTTATGGAGACAGGCAGGAGATCTGGTGATGGTAGATACAGGGGAGAGGGGAGAGAAAGTGGAAGTAAAGAGGATCAAGATGCAAATTGTACATGGAACAATTCCCCACAATGAATGTATTTATTACACACCACAAACATGTATGAATATTTTTAAATTATGGGTTCACATCTGCCTTAGTTACTTTTCTCTCATTGCTGAGACAAAATACTTGACATCCAAAGTTAATTTATTTAGTAGTTTATTTAGCTGACAGTCCATGATTGGCTGTCTCCAAGGCAAGGTGGCACATGACAGAGGAGCATCACAGAGGAGAAACAGTTCATGCTGCACAGAAGATAGCAAAGCAAGCAAGAGACAGACAAAACAAGCCTCTTTCTGTCACTCACATTGTATCCAGGCTAACGAGATTAGGGCAGTAACAAACCAATCAGTGCACTGTTTAGTAATCACCCACCCTTAATCCTAGCACCCTTATTCCTAGCATTGCAGTATAAATCAATCACACACTCTAAATTTAGCCACCACTGAAAAAGCTCCACCTATGACTATTTGAGGCTTGGGGGGCACATCTAGACATAAGCCATAACAATATCATACAAGAAGAAGGAATAGAGGATGAGGGAAGAGGAGGGTCACTAATGTCAGAGTCGTGTTGTCCAATTTTGGGTCAGTGAACTGCTGAAGGGTCCTTGTGCTGTGCTATAGGGACTGGGGTCTGAGCCTGTCCACTCTGCTGCTCCCCTCACCCTCTCCAAGTCCAAGTATGCTGTTTCCAGAAGGCAACCAGGCCGTGAACTCCTCATCCTGAGCCCTCCACTTGCTCCTTCACAGAAAACCCTTGGGAAGGGACTCACCGCTATAGAGGGGCTTCATCCCTGCTTCTTGTGTTTTCTGGTCTCAGTTGAGACAAAACCTTGGTGAGCACTGAGCCATGCAAGGTGCTGCTGTACTCAGTCATGGTGCAAAGGAAACTGTCCTCATGGAGGAGTTCAGGAAGAGATCAGGTATTAAACATGCTGTGTAGAGTTGAAGGTCTCTAACTCTCCATTTCTCCTCATTTTTTTCCCCAAGGAACTTTGTCCCTGAGATACTGCTTCTTAATTAGCCCATGTTCAGGGAGTCCCTAACCAATCAGTCTGAAGAGAACAGAATAACTTTTAGTTTTACCTTCTTTTGGCCAATTAAGTGTAGAACTTTTGAAAGTTTTTCTGAGTGAGGAAGCCCTAAAGCTTCTCAATCAGGGAATTTTTAACCCCAGGGCTGCCTTTGGCAAGACACTCCCCTCCTGCATCTAGATTACCAAGTGTTTCCAACTCTGAGCTGTTCATCTTCTCTGCTGTTAATCTCAGTCTCTTCCCTAGAGTCCCTTAGCTCTTCACAGCCAAAACCAGCTCCTTCCTCCAACAGAGAACATCACAAATGCCCTCTAAAACATGCACCAGTGTCCCGCAAAGCCTGCATGTAGGTCTCAGTGAAAAGCTTTATTTTCCTCATAATTCCCCCAAGAAGCCCAAGGACTCCTACTTTCTTGACAGAGGTTGTTGTTCCTAGTACTGTGGACCGTCTGGGATGCTATACCCTGAAGTCTAACCTTCCCTGGGCAGTGTCTCAGGTTTTCCCTTTCCTGAGCACATGTGCATCTGTGTGCTTTTGAGCAAGGTTCTTTCTTTCAAGCACGTTTTTCTGTGGCACATGCCTGACTACCTGTGGGCCCCCCTTAGAGACGGGAGAGCAGAAGAGAGCCCATTCAGGCAGCGACCTTTACAACCTGGAAGAACTGGCAAAATGGAAATCAGAAATCTGCTCCATGCTGGAGAAGATAGGAAAAGTGAAAATTATGAAACATTTTCTCATTTGGGTTTTCACTTTAGGCATACATGTTAAATAAGAGAAGGTCACTTGTAACTAAGGATATAAATTAGGAATAATTTTCTTTCCTGATTTCTTAATTTGCCTCAGCCTAAGCAGTTTGCCATTCAATTTTAGTGCTTTCTGAGCATGCATAATTTTGAAGGAAATTCTGTGAAAATCTGTTCTGCAAACTTCTTCTACTAACTCAGTAACATGTGAAATATACCTTCCCATATGAACAGATACTGCTCGACCTCTTTTTTCTTCAATAATGTTCCACTTTATAGATGTCATATTCTTATTAGCTAGTCCTCTATTGATCAAACTTAGATGTTGTTTCCATTTTAACTATGAAACATGTTATAAATATTTGTAGACATTTGTAAGTAAATGCTTAATCCTATTTCCAAAATGAATTCTCAGAGTTGGAATTTCCACATCAAGATGTTGATGAAGCTATTGCTCTTTATTGGCACTAAATTATACCCCAAAGATCTTGGATAGATTTGTACAATTATTCAGACACATAAAAAAGAGCTCTTCTTTTCCTGACCTATTATGAACCACAGGAATAAAGTTTTCTTTTCATTTTAAATTGAAAAGAACAGAATACAACACCTCAAAAGAAAAATCCACTGATAAATCTGAAAACATGGAAAATTTTCTGAAAGATTACCCAAACGGACTCAAACATAAATACAAATGCATTTGCCTAAATATGTTAAATAAATTCACTTCATAGTTTAAAACCTTCCCACACAGAAAACTCAGATTCACAGCCAGACAACCTTACTGGCATATTCTATTAAATATTAAGGAAAACAATAACACCAACCCTACACAGAATCTTTTAGAAAATTAAAAAGAAGGGAGCACTTCCCAGTTCATTTTATAAGGCCAGAATCTTCTAGATATATCAAGAAAATAAATCTATAAACCAATATATGTTATGAACATAAGTGCAAATTTTGATTTTTAATAAAGACCATGATTAAATATTGATATTCAAAAGTGGATACATCAACAGATGGTTCCTCTGGTCCCATCTGAAGTTATTTCTCAGCAACAAATCTTATTACAGTTTCAGTTTGTAAACTATGGGGGGATAAGGTTTCCTAGTATTGTGGTCTCCCATGGTGGATGCCCAATCCCTTTCCTTTTATTAGAATATGTTTGCAAAGGTGTAGGGAAAGTGGGAAGGGTAGGGGAAAGGTAATAAGTGAAAAGAAAAAAATATGAGAAAATGAAATAATGGAAATAAAGTGTTTGTAAATGGGGAGGGGAGGAGGGGGTGAAGGGAGGGCAGGG